GTCAAACAGTGCCAGAAAGTCTGAGTAATTACCTGACAGCTTCACAAATTAGTCAGAGTGCAACACGAAGACCCTAAGTAGAGCTAAACCTAGCACAATCCAAGAAGAAAAAAAGCTCAGAAAAAGGTATCACATAAGCATTTGATATTACCTGCTGTGGAAGGTGTCTAACACACAGGTAAAACAACTGGGAAGTCTGCAGATCTGGGGTCACCTCTACCTCAATGTGTTTTTTTTTTAAAAAAGACAGAAAGGGGATAGGCTCTCAAGAATTCAGGCAGTATTAGCAACTCTGAAAAGACTTACAGCTTGGTGAGAGTATGTACAAACAAGTATATTTTTGCTTTAAGTAAGAAGAGAGAATGACACTAGAGAAGACCCACACTCGAGTTTCTTATTGACTTAAAAAAACCCAGGATTTATGATTCAGTGCATGGATGTTACAGGAAAAGGGAAGCACTTTTTATGACTGCAACCATGAGATGAATCCATTGCTGGAGGCCTGGAAGGAGCTCTTGATAGGGTAGCACCCAATTTCATTTAACAGACTGTAACTTAGAGATGAAAAGAGTTTCTGCTGCAACCAAAGACAAATTGAGGAACTCCAAAATAACAAAACATCTATAATAAACGTATCTTCCACAAAAGATCAGTCCTTAGCTTCAAGAAATGAATGACTATACAACTTAAAAATACCTTATGCAGCCACAACACATGGGCTTGAATTTGTTGTGCTAGTGCTTGCATTTTGAAAAACCAACATTTTGATTCTAATTACCCAAAAACAGAAGTAGCAACAACAATTTGTTGTAGATAGAAACATGAAAACATGATGCTCTAAGTTTTTGTGATTGTTGCCCAGAGGGAATTTTTTTACTATAAAAACAGTTTAGTGTATACATTCTGAGAGAATTAGAAAACTAAAAGCAATAAATTGAAATTAACAGAATAAACAACTGTTATATCTTGATATTCACAAGACATACACAAAAAAATTAATCAGAATTTTCACCAGTGGCAAATTTCCAACATAAATCTCACTCATTCTCTATATGTATATTTTTTTTTTTTAACTTTTGGTTTGGGATCCAGAAACAAATGCAGAATTTTAATTATAACTTATATCCACTCACTTTAATTTGCCAAAGAGAAATCCTTGGACATCACTTTCATCCTCCTCATCTTCCTCCTCCTTTGTATCATTTACTCCTGAACACACAGCACATGTAGACAACATACACCAAGAAAGTTACTGATGTATTATGTTCTTAGGAATTATAAAACAGTTAACAGAAACATACAATCAGAAAGTCATCATTTCCAGATGTAATTTCAATTAGATTTATATTTATGCATTCATATTTTGGCCTCAGAATGAATCACTTTACAGAATTTAGCCACATTCAAAGTAATTTTTACATATAATTTATCCAATGGTTATATTTTTATGTAAATTAAATTGATATGGTTAAATAGTTCATTTTCAAAAATAGCCATTTCTCAGTTTGAATAAGTATTACTCTTAATCAGCCAACTACTACCAAATTTATTCTTGAAAAGCATGATGACTTTAAAGCACTTGAATCTCCAGCTAGCATTTGATGTGAATCAGAGATCAGTTCCTTTCCCTCAAAGAAATTAAACCATTTTTGATGTGACTCAGAAGCTATTCACTAACTTTGTCTCTGTAAATGCCCACACAAAGTAATTTCTCAGTGTCAGAATGCTATAGCTACCACTTTCTGTAGTGTCTCATTTCAACACACAGTAACGTACGCTGGTATTAAATTCCATGATACCGCACATCTTTCCTATGTAAGATTATGAAAATATTTCCACATAAATTAAAAGAAAACCACCCTCACCCCTGGAAAACTAATGTGTAGCTACTATAGTAATTAGCATATTAGAAATGTCAACGAACATCAAGTAAATGAAAAACAAAGATTAAAGGATCTTAACGAATGGGAGAGGAAGGTGTCGCATTTTGAAGAGTCACAGAAAATAATTAGAGGTCAGGTAACGAACTATATCCTACGCACAGCTGCTTAAAAATGCTTTCATGTATTTTTGTATTTTACTTCCTTCTGCAAAAAGAAATTAAGCATAACCTTCAAAACATTACTGACTTTATAACTGAAGATCGTAACGTATTTCAACAGTATCTTCACTAAGATATCATAAATAAATAAAAAACCCCACATACCTTTAACCTGTGTGTCATCTACTGCTTTATATTCTGTGCTCTTTATTGCAAGTTCTACACCATATCCAGATAAATACATTTTTCTGGAACTTGGTTTCTGTTTGATGATATTATTTAACAAAACAAAAATATAACTTAAAAAACTGTATTTATAGGAGATTAACAATAACAGTGTAAAATTTTGATTTTGAGTCATAACTTAAATTCACATTTCAATTTATGATTCAAAGCACAAAACACTACGCCAAACAAATTACAAGAATCACGTAAGGCATATTGACAGTCCTTTGAGAAGGTAACAGAAAGTAAGGACTTCCTTTATCTGCTGCAGACCACAGATAGGCTGGGTCAAAATTGCAGTCCCTTCACATAGCATTACAAGGACTAGAACAGGCAGAGCTGGTAGCACCCTATGCAATGATTGATGCCTTACAATTCAGATTTTAAACTATTACCAATTTCTTTGTCATTTTGCCAGACTATCAGCATATTAGGAGGAAATTCTCTATTTCTGCATCAGACTGATTATTTCTAAAAGTTTTGACGTAAGAGTAAATCACTTCCTGCAAGGAGGATGAAGAAAACGTGTTAAAGCATCACCGCTAAAATACGGTTGCCACCTATTAAAACCAAACAAGTATTTCTAACCTCGGAGTATAAGTTTGACATTCAGTAGTGTAATTACACACAGAGCATCCTTATTTCTGCAAGTGTGCTCTTATGTGCCCAAAAGGTATGAAAATCCCCTTTCCAAAATGCAATTTGCTCATGCACAGCAGTAATTTTTTGAAAGCTTTTCAGCTTTAGCTTGCAATTTCTAAGAATCATTCTGTATTCAGAATCTTCCAGCCCACAGCTGAAAATCCAGCAGGGCTGGGGGTTTTCTCTGTTGGTCCTCTAAGCATATCTCAATGCAAAGAGAGCACGGCACTCTCTAAGCATTCTGGGTGATAACGATAATGGCAAAAATGACAGCAGAAAGACTGTACCTCTTCTGCTCTCAATGCTCCCTCTTCTGGCATTTAATGTAAAAAAGGAAGGAGAATCCATCTCAGCGGAAACCAAAGAATAAAAATGGAGGTTGTGAGGAAGTAAGAAAAGGAAGAGCAGTCTGAAGAGAGAAAAAGTGCAGGAAGGAAGACAACATTTGGGGAACCATGGTGCATAAGCTGGTCAGAGCAAAGAAGCTGCAGGCATTCAATTGAAATAAAAGTGCATGAAAGAACAAAAAGTTCAGTTAAAAACTATGCCCCACACGATTTAGAACTGTAAGACTGGTTTCCTAAAATTCTCTGTTTCATTAGTGTGAGCAAACAGCTCAGTCATCTGCAAACTATGGATCTCATCTCCCTGAAATGCCTCGTCTCACATAAATCACAGCAAAATCACAGCAACCTCTCACTCCATCTGATTATTCTTGGATTAGCCACATTATTTAAGAGCTGTACTTTGAATATAAATTACAAAAACCTTCCAACAACCAACACTGGGGACAACATAGTTCCAGGTAGTGCTCTTTGTCTTGTTTTGTTTCAGGGAGAAAAGTCAGTTAAGAAAAGCATTCAGAAACATTATGTTTAAAATACTGACACCGAGGAACGCGAGTGTCAAAGGATTGCAATAGCCCATGCTGCTGTACTACAATGAACATAGAGATTATGCTGACAATATACAAAAGTATAATAGATTATTTTTCAAATTGATTTTCTGTTCTGCTTCCCATTTTTCTAATTCTTGTTCATAATATGTTCAGTCTGCTGCACCAAGATTGCCCCAAGATGTTTGTACAACATACAAACCCCAGACATATAACCAAAAAAGATATTTCAAGATCAATCAGTGATATAAGCAGTGCTGGCATGCAGGATTAGATAACGTCTCGCTACCCCAGTTTCAAAGTTTTTATTGGGCGAATCATTAGGAAGTTTTAAAATTATAATATATATTGCACATGATTTAGGCAAATGCAAAAAGAAACGTAGAAAGTCTGTTATGCCAAAAAGCAAGCAAAATCAAGACAGAACACTAACAGCTTACTGAATCAGTGTTAATTTGAATTGCATACCTGAACGTAATGCCGGAGAACATAAACAATCTCCTCCTTTTGTGCCTTGTCAGATAAAACCTTGTGGAATTTGACAAAGTCTTTCGTTCCCATTTCTGCATAAAGAACAACCACTGGGACGTCCTCTTTCAGAGTTGGGAATTTATGATCTCCCTTAAAAAGATATGGCCTGGGTCTGGTTTTAAAAACAAATAATTGTGATACTATATATTCAGAAAAGAAATTAAAACAGTGGCAGTTTTTCTACTTCGTAACTGAAAAATCTAGTAAGGGCTTATATGCTAAAAGTATACAAGCCATGTTAAAATCATCACACAATAATCATGATTACTCACAAGTGAACTTAGAACACCAAATTTGCAAATGAAAGTCTAATAAACTGAAAAATCAGCATCAACTATAAGTACTTTTAATATATTTTATCAAATATGTTCTTTAAATATTCTTTGAGGTCCCTTCCAACCTAAACCATTCTATGATAAAATCACAACACAAAGAGCAAACGAAAAGCACAGCACTTTGAGATTTTGTGCAACACTCAAAGTTCGAAGCTTTGAACTTAAATGACGTGTTAAATCTATCAGAAATCTACAGAGCAATCAGTGAGTAACAGAATGGCAGGGTGATATTCAGTGAAATTTGAGAAAGCTGCTAACACACATGGACACTCTCTGGGTTTATACTCCTTTAACACCATCAAGCTCTGTTAACAGAGCTAACTTTGTAAATTTTGACTGCCTACCTACCCTCCTCACTGCAAGCCACGACTAGAATAGTTACGTTTTCTATACCTGCAATGATTTCTTAGAGCACTGCAAACAACTTTTGAACAAAACCTACGACAGCTGGAAAAGTAACAATATGATTGAGTAATATACTCAAGGTGATAATTACTGATGAATACACTTCCCCCCCCCCAAATTTGCCCTTGCATAGTCACACTTGAAAGACCAGTAAACTCCCTCCAAACCTCTCCAAGCCAAGTTCAGGAACCCTGATTCAACACACACTACAGAAATGTGTGTAGTAGATGCTCATTGAAAATTCATGCTGGAAAGGTGTGAGCAGAACTCCACACACTACAGTTTCCATGATGCAAAGCTTAGGAAAATCTTCAGTATGACAGAATAATTTACACGACAAAGAACCTTTGGAAGTCATCTGCTCCAAACCCTTACTCAAAGCAGGGCCAATTTGTATCAGGTTACTCAGGGCCTTAACATCAACACCCTGTGTAAGCTTGGTAGGTATGCAGTCAGAGACCATGTTCGTAAGGCAGAGTCAAAAGGAGGGGGCTGGTGTGAGAATTAACTTGGGTGCAAGCAGCCATGTGTCACAGAAGTATCAGGCAAACTTTCCCACTGTAAGCACAGGACCAGGCAGTCGAAGTAGGTGTCACCCGGGAGTCTGAAACAACTCCCGAATGAGTAAGCTCTGTTCAAGACCAGATCCAGCTTTGCCCCAGTGAAAGCATACATCTGGGGAGTGACTTGTGCAACTTCCTTCTCATATCCAGAGGGACAAGAACTGCCACAGTCATTTACAGGGAGTTGAAAACCTAAATCAAGGCAACTTCTCCTTTCTTAACTAGTCACCTAGGTATAGCAGAGTGACTCTTGTTCTCAAAACGTGGATACCAAGTGATGCCACGACTTTCTTGAACACTGACAGTCTCAAAGGAAACATTTTATACCATAATGAACACACTTCACTAAAAACTAAGTGCTGCAGTGAAATACTGCATAGGGCTACCATAATGACCTTGGATTGGAGAACGAAAGCGTTCAGCCCTTGTAAATCCAAGATAAGCCTCTGTTCGCTGTTTCTCTTCAACACTGAACAGTAGTGAGAGTGAATTTATTCTCTTGCTCTTAGAGCTGAAAGCTAATTAATTCCCTGCCGTAAGAGATTCTCAGAAGGCGGCTGCCTGAAAGGGAAGGAACAGCAGTGTGGCAGACAAAGTAAGATTACAAAATTACAGAGATGTGGAGTTCAGCACCCGCTAACCAGTTATTAGGGTAGTACAGGCAACCATATGCTTGCCTAGATAGCTGCCAAGACAGGGTGCAGAAAGAACATGATGGACAGAATACAGCAGACGTGTACCGAGACACCTTCTGAGGCACCAATTGTTTTAAGCACAAAATGTGGCTCCCGTCAACGCTTCTGCTTTTGGCAGCAACAGCCCCAGAAATCGTAGTGTTGTGTTTTGGATAGTTATCGAGAGAAGCAATCCCAACCATCGAACTGCTGAAGATCTTCCTTTGACACCTCCCGAGCCCTTGAGCAGCCCACTGCACCTCCACACAAAACACGTGCAACTAGAACCATGCAGGCCATTGCAACATGGCTGAAAGTGCAACAGACCAAATCACAGTAGCTGCTGCATATAGGACTGGATGAAGATAAACCTTGACACGAAGATTATTTGGGCTTTCCTGAGTCCAAAGTGCCTTAGACTTCCTGGATCTAAGGTTGAGCTGATGGACCTGTAGAAATAACGCTGCAGCCTCTTCTTTCCCTTCCAGTGAGATTTTAAACTATCATCCCTAAAAATAGAACATTTCTAGTGTTCTCATCCAATATGGGAAACTTTAGGACACAACTGAAAGCCTAGCTTAAGTTGGCCTGGCTTAAGTGGAAGAGTCATGACAGAAGATAGAAAATGAAACACAAAGGAAAACAGTTTGAAATAAAAAAGCAATCAAAAAACCAAAAAGATTGCTTCTCATAAAAGTCAGAGAAGAAGAATGACTTGTTTAGAGGAACCAGCAGTGAGATGGCACACTGTCCCACAGATCATCTGTTCACTGTATAGAGAAGAAAAAACAACAGCACAGCCCTAATTGTATCACCTAGGCTAAACCTCTCCAGCACAAGTGAAAAGCATCTGCTACCCAGAGTACAACTGCAAATAGCAGTGGAAACAATTGCCTGAAGGTGAACATGATCTGCTCAAAATCTAGCTCCAGGAATTCTAAATATTTGAGTGACACAGCTACTTTTTTCTTCCCCCCCCCCCTTTTTTTTTTTTTTGGGGTGTGGGGAAGGAGAGGAAGGTTATCAAGATTTTTGTCCCTGAAGCTCTGAAGATTGTAAAGTGATTGGTGCACACAAAACTATCCAAAACACAAGAACAATCAAGAAAGGTCTGTCAGCAGAAGTATTGTCTCAGATGCATCACATGGTAAGTTTGTATAGAAAATACACTGTAACTTAAACTTCACTATCCCATACCAAAAAAAAAAGAGTGAAGAAATACAAAATTATCCATGTGGTTACAATAGCAAAGCTGTATGACTTTATTTTAAAATCCTACTTTGATTCATAATTGATGAATTCTCATAAGAGTAAGTGTTCAAAATGTTTCAAAACCAAAAATAACTCCTAAAATAACATATACTTGCAATGGGTATATCTGTAAATATCCCATAAACAGAGATTTATAGGCAAGGCATTATCAAGTAAGTAGAACATAAAATTTCAAAATACTGCAAGTATATATAAGTATATAACCTCTTTAGTAATTTATTTTTCCTCTTAAAACAAATCATTTCATTTACCTCTTAGTAGCCTTCTTCAGCAGCTTCTTTATTTCATTAGTCTTACAGGTGTGCTTCCCATGGATAACCACAAACGCACTGCAGCCTTCTGGTGGAGGTTCATCAGCTGCAATCTAATATTTCAACAATTATACTCAACCAGAATGCTTTGATTGCACTTCAACTTAAACTCCCATCCCTTTGATTAAAATAACTCAAAAGCTGCCATTGAGTTGTGTTTCTAATTAAGCCCATTCAGAATTGGGCACACGTGAAAAAAGTAATGGAAAATATTAAAAGATTAAGATGTTACAACCTTTGTGGGATGTTGTCTATCAAATGCAGTTATATGCCAGAAAATGCAAGACACTTATGTTCTGTAAAGACAGGGTTGAGAAATCTCCTCCACAAGCAGCAATCACAGCCTGTACTCTGAGATATCGTTAATTTGAGTCGTTATCAGCAATCATGTTAATGTAGAAAGATTTGACTGCTAACCAATAAATCCCAAACAATTAATGTCAATTTTGGGTTCTCCCTCTTTCCCACCTCCCCACTTGGTTTTGTTTTTTTTTTTTTTTCTTAAAACTTATTCAGCTCTTCCCATGTAAAGTGGGAATCATACAACTGGATGTCAACGACACTGGATTCACCAGCTGAAAGATAAAAATGAAAAGGCCTGAGACGATGATATTCTTCCAGGGAACACTTGAAAGAAAACCTTAAGTTTGTTACAACTTATTACCTTTCAGAAACACAGCTTTCTCTCTTTGTCTTGAAAGTAGCATTGCTAATAGCAGGAGAAGCAGTTTTAGGCTAGAGCCACAGTGAATTTATGACCTCCCACTTATTCATTAACAAAGTAGGTATTTGACTATTCTATCTTTGAACTCTTCAAATACTAAAATAATGAGAGAGATTAGAAGTCCAATAAATAACAAATATAGATTACTTGAAGCTACAGGAAATTTCCTACTTTGGGAATGTCTGAATTCCCACAGGATTATTTAAAACAATGCAAAAAAACCACCCCACACCCTGGGTTTTAAGAACAATTCCAAAAATTCTGTCCTGAAAATAATGCTGTCCATACAATCAAACCTGAATCTGTGTTCCTGTCAATGTAACTGGCTTATAAAGCATCACCTTCATAAAGGGATCACATTTGATTCCAAATACGTTGGCACACATTTTACTGAACTGTAATAACAAACATTCTTTGCAGCCAAAATAACACATAAAATAATGTACCAAATGTATCAGATATTATAGTTACCTGCTGAAACATCTGAACAGTTGGAGAATATGCCCGTATGGAAAGCGCAAACTTCAACAGATTGATTTGCAAATTGGACAAAAATTGTCCTGCTTTCTTCAAGATTAAATTGTAATAGGAATACTCTGAATCTGTTGAAGAATAAGAAAGAAACAAAATTATGAACTTTCAGTATTTATCCATAAATTATGTGATCTACCTGTGCTACATAATAGGCAAATATTACGTCAGCACTGCTTGGCACTTCAAAAGTCCTGGATGTTGTCCAGTGATAATTGTTTCCTTTACCACCAATTCTAAAAGTCTAATGCAACATAGGTACAACAAAAGTGAGTGCAGTAGCACTAGTTTACATCTAAATAATTTCAGCAATAAAAGTCCAGTCAAGACAATGTCTACCTGCAGACCCATACGGAGGACCCTGAATAGAGCTTATTCATTTATTTCTGTTTGACAAGCTTATGCTAGCCTTTTAACACACAGTTTGAAGGTTACTTATTTTCAACCAGCATTATTTTACAAATTATTGAGTCTTGGAACACTCCAACCACGCAACCTACATAAATAAAAAGATCTTCTACAGGTGACAGTCTTTGGGCTATTCTCACATATCCTATTTCTTCCTTAAAGATATGTGATAAACAAGAGAACGGATGCAACATGTGAAGTGGCTTCCACCCTCCCTGCATCTCTTGCTTCGTCAAGGCCAAAAATTAGGACTCGAAGTTAGAAGGAAGTTGGACCGTGTCTGTGAATGACAAAAGTGATAATAAAGAACACTGGTTGGAAATAATTAACCTTCGTTTCTCCTTCTATAAGCATATTGAAGTGAACATTCTTATGCCATCCTTGGACTGTGAGGCAAAGAAGCCTAATTAAAAAGAGATTGTAATATTGTTTTATCAAGTTATGAAAAAGACCTGTATCTGTTTAAAGAATAATCCTCACTGAAGTTTTAAATCGGGCCGTATTCACTGTACTATATGATATTCTGGAACACAAACAAATTAGAGTCAGAGAACCAAAGCTGTGACCATACCAAGCACTGTGCACCATCCCTATTCCAGATGTTGCTCTTCCACAGGAGAAACAGCTGCAACACTTTCAGAATGGCCAATTTATGGCCCCAAAAAAACCCTCTGTGTAGTCAGCATCTATTTTATTTACCTGGAAACAGCAGTGATTCAGGATCTTTTTCACGTCGGATTTGAATATTGTCCTATAAAGGTGAAAAAATTGTAGCAAAGGGAAAGTGAGTTGTGGGGAGGAATCATTCTAATTGTCCAGCTTGGATTTATCCCGTTTTTTAAGTCAACACAGTTTAAAGGTGTTCCTGCTGTGAAAGTGGAAGGATTGTCCCAGTAGGAAACCCCTTTAGGGGTCCAAAGCATCACCAAATTTTTACACAGCGTGAAAATCATCTCATGAAATTTAGCCTGCCAGATTTTACCTGTCTCAGCTGCAGCAGATCGCAGAAGTACTTGTACCAAATGATGAGTGCAGCAATCAAAATGCCATTCCTTCACCACGGCCTAAGTTCCAGCAAAATATTAGACCACATGCAACAGCCCTCCAGGCCATGGCTTTGGAAACATCCATTACAGCAGTTTTGTATAAAATTTTAACCCTCTCACTTTCCTCATTACAACCCCTAACCTTCTTTGGTTCTTAAAGCCTCCAGGATCTCCTTTCTGCCTTTTTCTCCTTCTTAAAACTCATTATTTAGAGAGGCTGAGTATCCTGTAATTTACTGGGGAAGGGGGTGGGTGTGTGTGTGTGTGGGGCAGGAAGTAATCTAGTATTAAAAAGGGTATGATCTGAATGTCCAGGAAGCTGCCATTCCATCAATTGTGTATGGTCATTACTGTCTAACTTTAAATTCAATGGAAGAAAAACCCACCTCTTCTATGTTTTCATGTTTTCAACCCTATGCACAACCGTGGCAGAACTCAAATGAGATGAATTTGACTTCACATGTTCCAAATAGTGAATGTTAAAAATTTGGAGTGGCAAATACTTCCAGATTGAAACATCTTTCCAATAACTTTACTTCCAAATTTCCTGCAATTTGCCTTCACAAAAATAACAAGTTTATCTGAAATTTTTGCCTCTCCACTCAGCCCCAAGTAACATTCTACTGAACATGACGAAGAGTTATTAAACACACAATTCTAAAAGATACCACCTCAGTAAAATATTTTTACAAAGCTTACAAATTCCAGCTGTGCTATCACTGCTGTATATAAAACACTTGATATTTTTGCTCTATAAGATGATTAAGATGATGATTTTAGTAAGTTAAAAAGGATAGTTTGTCACATGCCTTCAAAAATGACTGTATAACATATTGAAAAGGTTACATTTATCAAATCACACATCCACTCCTACTACTTCATCTTATATTAACACTGCTGGCTGCATTCAGACTACAACTGTACTTCAAACTGCAACAAGACAAAATAATCTGCATCAAATGCTACACAATCCACCTAATGCATAACCATTTCTTTTTTTAAAGTTTGCTACAGACAGAACCATGGTTTCAGTTCTACAAATTATTTTCACACAGTATTTGCTCCTTGAAACTTGGTAACTACTTGCCCTCCAGGCATATTTTAACACCGCACTCCATGCCAAAGAGTAGAAGCCGTAATAAATTTCTTAGGATGTTACAGGGAACCACAGAGAAACAGATGTTTCTGGTCATAAAATGCTGCGTGATAGCCTATTATCACTAAATTCATTAACAAAGTTGAACTGAAAATAAATAAATGAGTCAACATTAATAGGATGCAGCTTCAGATTTCAGAATCTGAACGCACATGTATGAGTTACATATCTGTAAAATTCCATTCTAACCAAGAGATATAGCCCAGCAGCCAACAAAACCTGAAAAGCTATTTAGCTCACTGTAAAGATGATGGCTGTCAGCTGAACAGCGCTTTCAACTCCTTTGCCAAATTGATTAGGTTGACTACAAGAGCTGAACAGCTAGCTAAGCAGACTCATATTTAAACATCAACATTTACTATCCATGATCTACACGCAGTATGTCACATCACAGGTGGATTAAAAACAATTAAAGGGAGACAACCAGGACAGTCACAAAAAAAAAGTAAAGGTCTATATCACAGCTCCTCAGATCCCACGCAGACACAGCACAAAATTAATCTCACTATACGCTGGTGCCCCACAAAGGAATTCAAAGTACTGAGGCACAGGAGCCAGGGACAGAAAACCTAAGGGACACAATTAGTCAGAAGAGCACAGGGTGCTGGGACCATTATTTTGAGGGATAGGAGTATGGGTATTGTTCCAACTGCATAGACGCCTGTATCTGTATCTGTGCATGAGCTAGGGAATTAGAGATCCCAGGTAACAGCAGTTCAAGCAATCACTGGCCAGTTAAATCCCTGTGACATTCCAGGAAGAATTTACTTTATTGCATGATTATTATAGAAGTGCCATGCTTGCGAAACTGATTCCTCTTGAATCTTTAAGGTTGGTATATATGTTAAAAATACTAATCTCATTTAGTTATTAATAATGTGTAGTATTCTAGATTGCAACAAAATTTGCATGATCGTGGTTTATATGTAATATATGGGGTTTGGGTTTTTTTTCCGAGAAAATAATTTCCCTATTAATATGTTTGGATGGGAGATTTTTTAATATATATTTAAGAGGCTGCTGAAAATTCAATATATAAACTGAACCACTTGGAAGACAGTAAACACTCAAGTCATAATTACTCAGCAGGGAACTGGCTACTTACCTTCACTCCGTGTTCCTAAATTAACCTTTTGAGATATAAAGCAGCAGCAAGTTTAAAATGCCATCTTCACTGTTTTCCAGCTGTGCTGTTTTTAATAGGAAATTTTTGCAGCTTTCTTTGTAACATACATGCAGCCCAAAATAGCATCATCTGCATTTCCAAATCCTCCACAGGCCTGGCAAAGTATGTTGCATATTAAGTAGGCATACACAATGTTGTCCCTGGTACCTGAAGACCTCACTCTAATGCAACATAGTGTATCCCATCACTAGCTTTTTGATGTTTGATGACCTTCTGGCGGTCACCTCATCCAAACCTTTACTTAGGGATCTAATTTCAATGGTAAATTAGACTGCTCAGGGCCTCGTGCAGCAGTTTTGAGTATCTCCAAGAATAGAGATTACATAGCTTCCTGGGACAGCCTGTCGCAGTGTTTACCCAGCACCATGGCAGAAATGTTTTCCCTAGCATCTAACCAACATTTTCATCTTTCAACTCATGCCCATTGCTTTTTTTCATATTACTGTGTACCTTCAGGAATGGTCTGGTTCCATATTCTCTCTACCCTTCTATTCGGAAACTGAAGATACAAGGTCTGTCCTTATTCCTCTCTTCCTCAGGCTGAATAGAACCCTGTTCTCTCAGCTTTTCCTCAGAAGTCTGCTCCAGTTCCCTAACCATTGTGGTGATCCTCTCCTAGACTTGCCCCAGTGTCTCATCTTTCTTTTAACTGGGAACCTCAACCTGGGCGCAGTTGTAAGACCATCTTACAACTGGTTATGCTCTTGCTGATGCAGCCTAGCACGTAGTTGGCCTCAGGCACAGGAATTTAATGCCACCCAGAGTCAACGAGAATCTCCACATCTGTTTCTCAAGAAACACCTTCTCATCAGTCAGTGCCCAGGCTGCAACGTTGCTGAGACTGTTCCAGCCCACGTGCAAGAATCTGTAAAGCACCTTTGCTGAACTTCCCAGTGTTTCTGTTGGCCTCTCTCCCCAGCGGGCCAAGGCCCCTCTAATGGCAGCCCTACTCTCTAGCTTCCCAACCTCTCCTCCCAGTTGTGTCATTCACAACCTTCTGGAGGGCATAACCCCTGCTACTCTCCTGTGTACTAACAAATCATAGAATCATAGGATGGTTTGGGTTGGAAGGGACCTTAAAGACCATCCAGTTCCAACCCCCCTGCCACGGGCAGGGACACCTTCCACCAGACCAGGTTGCTCAAAGCCTCATCCAGCCTGGCCTTGAACACTTCCAGGGATGGGGCATCCGCAGCTTCTCTGGGCAACCTCTGCCAGTGCTTCACCGCCCTCTCCGGGAAGAACGTCTTCCTCATATCTAATCTAAACCTCCCTGTTTTCAATTTAAACCCATTACCCCTTGTCCTGTCACTACAGACCCATACAAAAAGTCCCCCGTCCAGCTTCCTTGTAGGCCCCTTCAGGTACTGAAAGGCTGCAATAAGGTCTCCCCAGAGCCTCCTCTTCTCCAGGCTGAACAAGCCCAATTCTTGCAGCCTTTCATTATAGGAGAGGTTCTCCACCCCTCTGATCCTCTTCGTGGCCTCCTCTGGACAAAGGACAAACAAAGACCTTAAACAGCCTTAGTCAATGGCACTTCTCTCAACAAATGCTACCTGCAGCTGGCCTCAGGTTAAATTCTGCACCCACTTCCATCTTTCATCTCCTCATGCTCTTACACAACACGGCTCCAAGAAGCATTAACAGCCCAGGCCTCCTGCTCTCCACCATCTCTCTGGTTTTGTTTGTACTCCTGACCTCAGACCATCCCCTGTTTTCATCAGCTCACAGTAATTTTTTTGGGTTGTATTTTTTACCTCTCCAGTTGATATCCCACAATTACAATCATAGCTCTTTGTACATCTTCTACTTCTACTATATCCTTTCTAAAGAAGTGGAGAAGAAAGTACAGGGAGACAGTGAACTCCACACAAAAGCGCATCCCTTAATCGTAAGCAGCAAGATGTTCTTTACCATGTGGGTCCCTGTTCCTTCCCTAGTAATTATTTGTCTAGTGGCTGCTTTGGGCATTGCTGAGCACTCAGATGATATTCCCACTGACCTATCCACGTGGACACCACAATCTCTTTGACTTGTATTCAGTCAGTCACAACTGTTGAAATGTGTTGTTTTTTAAGTTCTCTTTCCCATATACAGCATTTTTCACATAACAAGGACCCTTTTCTGTCCTCTCGCTGCCATTTCCTGCATGATCTCTCTACAATTGCTTAGCTTCTGGCTATTAACGTAGCATTTGACTTACCCCAAGTCTCTTCTAGTGGCAGTGTAAGGCCCTGACACTCCGGTCTGAAGAATGGTTCTATTCTGAACCACGTAGGTCTAATACTGACCAGCCTGGTGTAAAGTTTGGTAGGTTTCCAAATTTTTCATTACCACAATTACTTCTAATAAACTGCTCTCCAAAGTATCCTCCGGCACGGCTCGCTTTTATGCTTCTTTTGCTGCATTTTATGCTTTGTTCTTCTCTCCAAACTTCCAACCACTTAATACTTCCATCTTAATCCTATTCCAATAGTGATAACCACTGATTCTAAACCACCAACATTGCTGCTAGTAAACAGTCTCAATGCCACCTATAGCCTTTTTCAGTCATTCATTTTTTCCTTTAGCTAGCACTCTCAATTGTAGCTATTTGTGAGACTCTCCCCCCTACAAACATCCATCTTATACACAAGATGAAGTCTGACAAGCTACAAGCTCCTGCTGAGTCACTGAAGGTAGGCGTCTTTCATCTTTATGCTTCTGTCTGATGTTGTAACCGCAGGTCTGTTCATCTCACCATCCTTGCTTTCGAACTCCTCTACAGGTAGAGCTCTCAGGGCAAAACACTGTAGTTGGCCTTCACCAAAGTTGACCTGGCTACCACTTCCTGAAAAAAAACTACCTAGTAAGCAATAGCGGAAGAGTTATGCTTTACCTGACTGGGACTAGTTAATGTGTTAGCGTGATGTTTGAAGGTTAAATAGAGTGCAAGGTAATACATTAAAACTAGCATGCTGTTTAACTTACCTCCTTGCTTATAAACTGTTAGCTCTCGTACAGTTTCCAAGAACTGCCAAAACTTCTCATTACCATCTTCTGCAATAAATTCACTGTTTAAAAATAAAAATTAATTGTCCATGGATTGACTTTACCCAAAAATGCACCACAGTAAAAAAAATCTTTAGTTGTTTAAAATAAGATACCCAGCAACAACCAAATGCTAAGTATTCAATGATCATCTAACATCCCTGTAGCATGAAACACTGAACAGCGGTATATTTTGGTTAAAAGAAATTTTGAACCAAGTTATTATCAATCTGAAACCAATAGTCAGAGCTGTAAAGCAAGCAGGCTATTCTCCCACACAGACAAATTTTCACTTTATTTTTTCAAAGGTACTCCAATATACAGTTAGAAATTAAATCAATTCAGCATACAAACTTTATTTAATCGTGGCTAAATATACAAATAAGAACAAGTGCTCTGCAAGGTTGTATTTTTGAATTAAATTACAGGCTTTTATCAATGACAATGCCTACTGTACTATGCAGGGGAGGTCCCCAATCTCTGGAACACTTTCAAAGTTGTGTTAACCCTTACAAGGCATAAAAGGCAAGCTTTGCTTTATTCCAAATACCATCCTTCCATTTACTAGTAATGCTTTTTAGTCTTGTACTTTTTCTTAAGGGAACATCAGTTGCTTCCGCCTCTCCCACCCCCCCACAGCTTATGTCGGCCAAAACCATCTATTTGCTAGCACCAGTGTCCTGTTTCCTAATCTTTACTTTGGAAGTTTGCCACGCCTTTGATTACAGAAGCTTGCAATTCTCCCTTTCAGAGGAGTTCTCCAAACGGGTGCAAGTAAGGTTAAAAACAAACCCAAGATTTTAAACCAAACTGGCAAGGGGGCCACCAACATGTAATTTCAAAATAAGAACTGGAAGTGTTTTCCAGGACTACAAGTTAACACCACCTTCTTAAAAAAGGCACGTTTTACTATTACAGCTTCACACCTTCACTAATAGCTTTATATATAATTATTTAATGAGTTAAAGTAAACTAATAGGGGTGAGATTAAGCGATACTGAAGGCAGGGATTGTGTAGGTTGCCCCACTGCATCTCCTCAAGCCAACCTGCCAAACAGCTGAGTCAGTTAAACACAGGGCAGTTTAACTAACACACTTGAGCGCGGGAAGCCCGTCAGCACTACCCATAGCGCTTTACAGGTGGAGAAAACCGTTAAGCCGCGTACCGAGGGAGTACTTTTAACACACCCCTGACAGACCCGGAGGAGAGACGCAGCCATCCCTTCCTGACAGCCCGCCTCCCCTCGCAGCGGAGAGAGAGAAGGAGCCCCTCCCTCCTCCTGCCCCTCAGCGCAGCGCCCCAGCACACGGCCGGGGCAGGCCTCACCGCTGCTTCC